GAGGCAGGCGAGCGGCAGGGCGGCGAAGCCGAGGCGCCGACTGACAATGGGGCTCTGGTCGACAAACGTGTGCTTGCGGTTGCGCTGGTTGGGTCCGCCCACGACGAGGTCGCGGCAGAGGACGTCGACGAAGCGCCCGTAGACGGCGGGCCGGATGTGGTTGAACTTGGTGATGAAGGCGTGCTTGAGCCAGTCGACGGCGCACTCGCTCGCCAGCACGATGCACAGCGGCGTCAGCACCGTCTCGAGCAGGCTCAGGCTGGGGAAGACGGTGAAGCTGGCGGGCAGCGGACTGGCGGCCGCCACGCCGCCCTCGCCGCCGCCGCCGCCGCCGCCCGAGAGCTCGATGAGGTTGCGCAGCCCGATGGCGGTGAGCATCAGGGTGAGCTGGAAGCGCTCGACAATGTCGGCGCACGTCATCTGGAAGATGTTCTCCTTTTCAAACTTTTTAAAGACGCTGCCCTTGATCTCGACAAACTGGTTCGAGAGGAGGAGCGTGAGGAGCGCGTTGTCGTAGCTGTTGATGGCGACGTTGAGCGTGACGAGCTGGTAGAAGAGGACGAGGGTGTGGGCGAGGACGTAGCCGAGGCTCAGCACGAAGAAGCCCAGCGGCCGCAGGTAGGGCTGCCGCCCGTTCTTGCGGCGCGCCAGCGTGATGCGCGAAAAGAGCGAGTCGAGCAGGTCCTGGCCGAAGCTGCAGCACAGCCGGTCGGCGATCTCGAGCACGTTGAAGATGACCGAGAGCTTGACGACGTCCTGGCCGCGCACGCTGTGGTACATCTTGCTCGCGTCCGTCAGCCGCGAGAGGATGACGCAGCTGAGCACCAGCAGCAGCGCCTTGAGCAGGTCGCACTTGTGCGACGAGTGCAGGTACCGCTTCTCGCGCCCGAGCACCGCCCAGCCCGCCGTGTTGGCCGCCCACTTGTACGCCGCCACGGCGAACCGCAGCGGCAGGATGGTAAACGTGTACAGGAACGAGTCCAGGCAGACGACAAAGCCAAACATGATGATCTGCGCGGCGGGGGCCGGAGCGGAGGTCGGAGGGCGGCGGCGTCAGTCTGGCCGTCGCGTTTGTCAGGCGTCGTCTCCCTGCACTCACCTTTTCCATCCAAAAGGGGATGGCGATAAAGTTGGTCACCCTCTCCCACTTCATCTCCTGGGTGCTGTCAAAGTCGGTGGCGAGGATCTCTTCTTGGAGGTAGTCCCACAGGCTGAAAGGCGCGGCGGCGGCGGCAGCAGCAGCATCGGCCGCGGCGGTGATCGCAGGCGAGGATGCCGATGTCGAAGGTTCTTCGGGACGCTGCAGCTGACCCGGTGCAGCGGCGGCGGCGGCGGCGCCGGACGCGGTGACGCTTTGCTCGCTTGAGCCGGTGCCACTGGCAGCTGCTGCGGTGGCGGCTACGTCAACGCCGGAGCTCCTCCTGCCGAGCGCCTGGATGCCGCTGGTGCTTTCGCGGCGCTTTGGCTGCGGTTGCGGCTGCGGCTGCGACTGCGCTGGGTGGGACAGTGTGCCCCGGCTTGTTTTGTGGGACACGCCGTCGCCGCTCGATTCGTGATGGGGTCGGTCGTCTTCGTCGTTCGACGTCGCCAACGTGGCGACAGCACCGGCACCGGCACCGATGCCGCGTTTTTCAGTGGCGGGCGACAGGGCAGCTTGGGCGTTTGAGCGGGGGGAGAGCAGGGGACTGCCTGCATCGACCCCGGCCTCGGCCTCGGCCTCGGCCTCGTGGAACGTGGTGCTATCCGGCGTCGAGGATCTGGCCTCGTCGAGGGTGGGCGTCGAGTGCTCCGAGGCATAGGCCTCTCTCTGGTCCCAAGATGAGGACGAGGGCGGCCCCCGATGCGGATCCACGTCAGTGTGCGGCGACCGGGGCGACGGCGACAGGTCACCGCGGCGGGATGCGACAATCGACGAGGGCGACCCTGAGGACGCGGTGGCAGATGCGACGGCGGCGTGATCATCGTGGTCGTCGCGGTACACGGCGTCGTGGGCCCTGCCCGGCGGGTCTGCGGCGTCGATCGACTCTGCATTCGAGGCCGAGAGGTACCGGTCGCTGTCGCCGTAGCGGTCTTCGAGGAACGAGGACGAGGGAGATGGTGCCACGGAGTCGGGCTGGGGCGTAGGCGATGCGGAATGGTTGGGGCGGTGAGGATGAGAGTGAGGATCAGAACGAGGGGGTGAAAGCGCGGGCTGGGGTGCCGAGCGACGGAGGTGTTCTGGCGAGGGCGACGAGGCATAGGACGAGAGACCCGAGAGGAGTAGGGCTCTGCGGCTGGATCTGTACTGGCGCACGGCGTCGCGGTAGGCGGCGCGCTGCTGGCTGGCGTCGTCGGCGTCGTTTGCGTCTTGGTCTGCATCGTCGCTTAGGTCCGAGTCGGTGACGAGTGGATCGGCGTTGTAGGCCGTGTCGTCGTCGTCGTCGTCGTCGTCGTCGTCGTCCTCATCTTCCCATACTCCGTCCTCTTCTGCGTCTGGGATGGGTGCCGTGGTGGCGACATTATTATCTGTTGCGGAGGAGGGCGCCGTGAGCGACTGTGCGACATCAGGGCGAAAGGAGGCGGGAGCTATGTGGCCTGGGACGTGGGTTTCGGCTTGAGGGGCGAGACCAGCGGGAGGCAGGGCAGGTGCATGGTGCTTTTCATCGCGAGGTTTGTTGTCGACGAGGACCTGTATGGGTGCGGTGCGGTAGGGCGACGAGGGCAGTTCGAGGCTCTGGCGGCTGTTGGATGGCGAGAGGTGGTGGTTGGGCAGGCGGTCGAAGCTGCGGTGGTGGTGGTGTTGGTGTTGGAGGTGGTGTGCGGGTGCTTGAGGGGGCGAGTGGGTGGTGTGTTGCGGCGCGCTGTGCTGTCGTTGGTGTCTTGGAAAGGATGGGAGCGGTTCAGAGTGCATGCTTGCCAGTAGGCAAGAAGGCGAGACGGCGGTGGTGGCGGTGGTGGTGGTGGGTGGGGAGAGAGGAGGGGACTGTTGGAATCCGGACGGGAACCAAGGGCGCATGGACCCTTTTTGGGCAAAGGTTGGCTCGTGGCTGGCTGGCTGGCTGCCTGCCTGCCTCTGCTCTTCGCTCGCCCGCCTCACGTCGTCTTAGCCAACACGCGCACCATCATCACCAACACCACCACCACCACCATCTTCTTCTCTCGCCCTCCTTGCGCGCCAACGCCATCCCCGCGCGCAGCCACCGTATACCCACCGCCCACCTCACAAGCCACTCCACGACTTCCGTCCACCCCGCCTGCCATGGCGCACCCGACACATGACATCTTAAGCGTCCAACGCAGCTCATAAGCCTGCACAGCAACGTCCACCACTGCCGTCGTCAAGGCCACTCGCATCACCCTCCCATCGCCTCTCGGCAGTATACCCCTCAGTGCATCACCACCAGTCCCGCCGCGCCACCGCCACCGCCGCCCACCATGTCGTTCAACTTCACCTGGCCCACCTTTAGCAACGAGTTCCACGAGAGCGCCGCACAGATGCTCGACAGCGCCCTCAACAAGGGTCCCAAGCCAAAAGTCATCGCAGACGACATCAAGGTAGAGGAGCTCGGCATGGGCACCATACCCCCCGAACTCGAGATCCTCGAAATAGGCGACCTCGGCACAGACCGCTTCCGCGGCATCTTCCGCCTCACCTACGCCGGCGACGCCCACCTCGTCCTAAAGACAAAGGTACAGGCAAACCCGCTCTCGAAGCCCAACCGCCCAGACCTCGGCCTCTTTCCCTCGACCACCGCATCCCGCGGCATCCTCTTTGCCGCCGCCCCCCTCGTCGTCCCCATGCACCTCCGCCTCTCGCACGTAAAGCTCCGCGCCATCGTCGTCCTCGTCGTCTCAAAGCAAAAGGGAATCACCCTCGTCTTCAAAAACGACCCCCTCGAGAGCGTACAGGTCAGCTCCACCTTTGACAGCGTCGCCGTCCTCGCAAAGTACCTCCAGCAGGAAATCGAAACCCAGTTGCGCGAAATGTTCCGCGAGGACCTCCCCGGCATCATCCACCGCCTCAGCCAGCGCTGGCTCAGCGGCGAGGCAAAGCACGAGCGAGAAGAGGCAAGGCTGCGCAGCGAGGGCCAACAGCAGCACGCTCACGCAAACAGCCATCAACATCACCAGGCCAACCAGACCAACCACAAGCACAACTACCGCCAAACGCCCCTCCCACGCTCCACCAGCGACCCGCACGGCCACTTTGAGACCGCCTCGGCGCCCGGCGGCCGTCGCGGGCACGGCGGCGCGCCCCTCTCGAGCACCCACACCACGCCAAGGCCCAGGTCGGCACGCCGCAAGACGAGCATGTCGGCCGGCGCATCGGCCTCGGGGGCGCCGCCACGGAAGACGCCACCCGTCTCGCCGCCGACCGCATCCCGTTCCAGGTCGGCCACGCCCCGCCGTCCCAGGCACTCTGCAAAAGCCGCATCCATGTCGGCCGCGCCGCTCTTCAACGAGCTCCTCTCGTCGTCGGCCTCGTCGGCCTTCACCTCGTCCTTTCCCGACATTGAGAATTACGACCCAACCTACGGCCTCCGCCCCGACGACCTCCCGACCCACAGTGGCTTCTCGGGCCTCGGCAAGCTCGCCCAGCGCGTCAGCGGCGGCCTTCGCGATCTTACCAGCCCGCCCGAGGTTGGTCCAGGCGGCGGCTCGTTCGTTGGCCAGGACCGTCGGGCCGATCGGCCCGACCCGTCCGGTATCGACACAGACACTTCCGACCCCGCAGGGGCTGCGCTCGACTCAGACGGCTATACCAGCCACGACGACGGTGATGACGACGAGGATGACCTGAGTCATGATGGAGACGCTGGCGCCGTCGACGACGACGACGATGGCGATGATGACGACGGCGACGATGTGTCGGACAGCGTGCTGGACGACGACGACGAGATCGACGATGTGCCCGACCTCGATCTCGACAATTCGGCCGATTACACGCGCTTCGGCTACCCACCCGCCTCGGCGGCCTTTTCAGATACCCACGAGGTCAATCGCGCCTCGTCAATCATCTTTGACGACGCGCCCGCTCCCGGCACCTCGGCCTCGTCGGCGGCCGGTGGCGGGGCGGGCTCTCTGTCGCGGCGGGGCGGTCGTAGACGGGCCGGCAGCATCGGGCGACCGAGCGAGGGCGGTGGCTCGCTGCGATCGACTAGGACGTCGAGCTCGAGCAGCAGGCGGCGGGCGCCGGCCGTCGAGTACGAGACGATCCCCGCCGTCGGTGGCGGCACCGTGACGCGGCCGCGCGTCTACCACATCGCCAGCAAGGTGCAGCCGCCCGAGGTCGACTGGGACGACGAGAGCACCGCCCGTCCGTCGCAGTACGGCGGCGGCGGCGGCTCTTCCCGCACCGGCGGAGCGACGCGCTACGGCTCCGAGATGGGCAGCACCACGCTGGGCGGCGGTCCCGGTAGCTCGCGCACCAACACGGTCCGCGGCCTCGGCTCGCCGATGCTCGAGGGGCAGCGATTCCCCATGGACGGCAGCAGCGAAGAGAGTCTGATGGAGCTGCCGCCCGAGTCGATGCACAGCAGCGATCGCTCCCAGCATCGGATGCCGCAGCACCACGCGGCTGCATACTACGGCGGCGGTGGAGGCTGGAGGAGCGGCTCGTCGGCCTCGGCATCGTCGGCGTCGTTGTCGGCGCGACAGAGCTCCTCGGGCCGTGACTCGGGCCTCTATTCGTCCGGCCTGCCGTCTCGCGCCGACTCGCTGTCGAGGTACACCAATGGCGGCTGGGACTACAGCGGCGCCAGTTCTGCACCCACCTCGCTGCCCACATCGGGCCTGGGATCCGCCTCGGACCTCGGCTTCCAGCAGCAGCAGCACCACCACCACCACCACCACCAACGCAACGGCCACGATGACGCTGACCAGCGGCAGCAGGACTCTGCCGGCGGCATCGGGATCCGTCTCAGCAAGGGCAAGAATGTTGCCCGACCCCGTCCCACCGCCGCGGCCTCGCTGGATCGGGCGGGCTTTGTCACTGCGTCTCCACGGCAGTCGAACGGCGGCAGCGGCGGCAGCCGGTGGAGCCAGCACGACACTCCATCGCGGTCGACGGCGCTGGCCAGTTCGCCGGACCTCTCGACATCGGGTCCCCACAACGACGGCGGCGGGCGAGGCGGCGACCTGAGCACGTCTCCCTTCAGCCAGCGCGATCTGCTCTCGACGTCGCCGTCATTCCACGGCAGCAGCCCGCGCAGCCACTACGTCTCCGGCGCCTCGCACGCGCTCCAGCAGGCAGCAGGCGCGGGCGGCAGCGGCAGCGGCGCGGGCGGTGCAGCGGGGACGGCGGCGACGACGACGACCAAGCTGTCGATCGATGCCTCGGCGCACTTTGCGGATCTGGTCAAGTCCAACCACACGCTGAGCCCGTTTACGCGCAGCATGGAGCACTTCACCGTGCGCAGCGCGCCCGTCACGCCAGGAGGATGGCAGCACGGCGGCGGGGGAGGTGGCAGCGTGGTGGGCAGCGCGGCCAACAGCAGCCACAGCGCCGCTAGCGGCTCTGGCACGGGTAGCGGCGGGTCGCAGGCGGCCATGCACCCGCACCATCATCATCACCACGGCCACGGCCACGGCCACGGCCAGCGCCACCAACATTCGCAGTCGCAACACGTCCACGGCGCTGCCACCGCTCCTGCTGCGGTGCGCTCTGCCGTGGGCCGAAGCGCAGCCGCAGCGTCGGCGGTTGGCGGCGCACAGACCGACTCGCCCGCCCGCCGCAGACGTACCTTCCAACTCGGCGGCGGCGGTAGCGGCAGTGGCAGCGGCGGATCCAACACACCGTCGTCGTCGCCGCAGATTGGCAACGCGCACACCTTTGCGCCGGCAGCAGCGACAGGGACGGCGGCGGCGGGGCAGGGCGGCTTTGCGGCGTACGCAGGCGAAAAGCCGCGCGGCGTCACCGCAGCAC